TTATTTTTTTAAGGATTATAATGTATTAAAATTTAAAGATGCTTTTTCGTCGTAACTTATGCATGTAAAATATATTTTAAGCAAAATAAGTGGTTCTAAATAAAGAATCAATACTGTAATAAATTATATTGTCTATAATTTTATTTTTATATTGTCTATAATTTTATTATATTGTCTATAATTTTATTTGAGTCAACTTTTTAAGTATATAAATGAGTATATCACATATAACAATAGTTGCTTTCCATTTACATCAACTCAAATAATTCTCACTTGTGACGTCATAACTCAGTTAAATGCACGTTCTTTTTGCATGCTGCAAGTGAGATTCAACTGAGTATTTATGCACAATCGAGACCATGTGCTTTGATGAATCTAATAGACTCACATTAAAAATGAGGCTATAAACCGTGCGTATTATTACGCAATAGCTGCTTTGTTATCAAAATAAGCAGGTAAATACAAAATGACATATCTTACCTGAGTGTAAAATACTCACATAACTGAGTGACTCAGATCACTTGAGTGTAAATGGAAAGCAACTAATATAATAAAATAAATAGCATATAACATAAACAACTTAGATATATACGTTATGATAACATTAACTCTCGGTTGTCACACCTCTTCTTTAAACATTTTTTAAAAGAATTTTTTTAGAATAATGCCAAAAGTTAATTCTTTATATAATAAGGATACATTTTACAATGTTTAAACTTAATTCTAGAATTTTTTGTAATCTACTTAAACTGTTAGTTTTTGAACAGCATGTAGCTGTTTGAAAATTGGTTGGGGTCATTTTGACCCGGTGTGACAACCGAGGGTTAAACTCATTTTAACATTGGTAAAACTAAACTTAATCACTATCTGATGATTCATTGGATGATTTATTGGAATTTGAATCTGCGCTTTGTGAAGAACGACTTTGTGAAGAGGCTGATGAATTGGGCGATGCACATTGAAGTTTTCTTTGATTTTCTTCTTCTTCTGCAAAACATTTTTAACATTATTATTATTAACGTGTTTTTAATTTTTAAATAGTGACTTTTAGAATATATTGTTTTCTAATTTTTTATGTTTATTTTGTTGAAAGACTGTTTTAAAAAATCTGGAATGTTCAGATCTGGAATGTTAATTAAAAATGTTTATTATTTTTTATATTATTTTTTATAATTATCCATGCTAAGAAATGTTTAAAAATATTAAAATTTTTTATTTAATTCAATGTCTTATATTTTACATGTAAACGCAATTATATTACAAATTATTTTTTCAAGTATTTTTTTTACTGTTAAAGAGTTTTTTAACTGTGTATAAAGTAAAGAAAAAAATATTAATTATTAATAGAAAAAAGTACTATACTTTAAGGATTAATTTTATTAATCCAGTTGTTTTTAAAATTTCTTATGAATATATTAATTTATAAACACATATTTTCCATAAAAAAATACAAAAAGATATTACCTTTAAACATATAAAAATTATTTGTCTATCGTCGTTAAAAAATATTTACCTTTTATTTTTGTTTCAATAAGAAAATTGATGTAGATGCTTAAATAGCGTGTCCATTTATTTATCAGTTTCTTTTTTTCTTTTTTGTGATGCATCTCAATAAAAGCTGAATAGCATTCTAGATGAAATAGGTTTTCATTAGGCTTATTTTACCAGAGTACATTAATAGTGAGAGTGTGTGAAATCCTAATTTTACTACCTAGACTTCTTACAAATTTTTAAACAGTTTTAAGTATATATTCACTATTAGAACCAATTATTCATTATTCGTTCGAAAAAACTTTTAAGTGCTAAAGCAGGCCTTTCACACTTTCTAACAACAGAATTATTTTTTCTTTTATACTTACTTCTTAAAACAGCCTTTTTTACTGGTGTCAGTGGCTTTCTCGGGGATCGGTTTGGCAATCTATTTTTACATTTTTCTAACACTACAGCTCTATTCATCAATTTGTGCACTCCCCAAAGTGATCGGCTCAATTGCCTAACAAATAACGAAGGTCTTCTCAATTTTTTTATTTCTTTCCATATTGTATACGGTATTGAAATACCGTATTTCAAGTGCATCATTTTAATCTAAAAAAAAAAAAAAAAATTGAAATTTTTATTTTAAAAAATATTTTAATGATTATCGTTATTGAATTATAAATACAGGTTCAAGATTGTTCTAATAATTTTTGTTTCCTCAAAAAAGAATCTTTGTTTTCGAAAACCTCGTATATGGACCTTTGATCACGTATAAAGCTAGGTCTAATCAATCAAATCTTAAAGAATTATATATGAAATAGGATTATATAGAAAAGACTAAAGAATTGCCAATATTCTAATATTTTTACCCTTAGGTACCTTTACCCTACACCTCGTCTCAACTAATTCTCACTTTTCAAAAATTGGTGTTTGTTGACAATTTAATATTAATTATTGGCAACTTTTCTAATTTTATTATATTCTTTAATCTTTTGTAATCCAGGTCACTTCTTTTATTTTTTTTCTTTTCATTGATCTTTCGTAAGTTTTTTAGTTTTTTTGCTTTTTTTTTTTTTTTTCTTGTTTTCAAATTACAGCAACATAATTATTAACATAAAATAGTATGGCTTCTTCATAGAGGAAGTTTTATGAGGGAAACACAATTATGAAGAAGCAATGTGCAAATTTCTAATTTGCATACTTTCAAGAAACTTGGAAGGAAATAGATCTAGTACATCAAAAACTTGCACATGTAATGATGAGGAAACAATTCGTAAGTTTTTAATTTGCACATTTTTAAGTTATATATTTAAGTATAAGTATATTTCTCATACTTAAATTTTAAGTTTTTAAAACTAAAAAATAAGTCATAAAAAATTGTTTTTACCAAAACCTTGATGTACAAAAACGTAAAACAGAAGATAGTAGACGTTACGAGGAAGTGCGTGACAAGATAAAAATGTTGAGTCCGTGAGTGCGAAAAGCTCACACCGCTCCATTCTCACGAACACATTAGAAATGTCTTAAATTGAAATATTTTTTACATTTAAACTTACAGTTGTTCCGTTTACTTCGTCGTCCCAAGCAGTCATATTTTCTTTATCCGTTAGTTTAACAAATTGATCAGAATCGTAATCCAGGTCACTTCTTTTACTTTTTTCTTTTTCTTGATCTTTTGTAGGTTTTTTAGTTTTCTTTGCTTTTTTTTTGTTTTTTTTCTTGCTCTTTGCTTTCGGATCGTTTGCTTTATGAGTCTTGTTTTCTGTTAAAATTTGCACACACAAGTCATCTTCTTGCAATGGAGATTGCTCATGTATTAATTGAGAAGTACCAGGTTCACTATACAAATAGTATCTTGTAAAGGAGCATTAACAGTCGTTTTACTTCTCATTTTTTTTGGGTGTACTAGTTATAGCTGGTGATGCCGCACGCTTTAGTTCTGTAAAAATACATTGTCAAATATTGATAAAAATTAAGTAAATAAAGAACAATTTTGTTTCAAAAATAATGTTTTTTACCTTTAGGAAATAATTGTTTCTTTGTTTTCAACGTATGAAGTTCCTCTTTAAGAAGGAATATATCAGTTTTGTTGTGCCGCGCCTGGGGATTACAGGATCGGCACGGAGTTCTTTGGGATCCGCCGGGAGAGAGAAGACACACTTGTCCAGATTCTTGTAGAATAGCTTTTAATAAACTTAGTGTTACACAAATCTTACTACACAGGTGTTCTTAGTCTATTGCCCTGACTTGCGGGCGTTCGTGTAGTCGATTACATTCGGTCGTGCGCGATTAACCTTACGTTTTAGACTGCCCGCCGCTTCTTCGAAGGGCGGGCTTTTTATTTCTTCGCGTATTACTTCCGCGATGCTGACTTAGCTGTCAGCGCTTTTGCTTCCGGGTGAGCGACCTGGAAGCCGCTTGCGAAACCCGGAATGCCACCTCTGGAGAGTTTGGCAAGATCCGGAAGCAACGCCGACAGCTAAATGTCGCAATTAGGGATCGTTGACCTTTGCGGCACAACATCCCTCCCCCCGTGGAAAAAGAAAACTGAGGTACGAAGTTTTCGTTAGCGCTTTCTTTTTCCATAGAGGTTACATCCTGTTTCAAGTTATTCGTTGTGCGTTGTCGGCATTCTTTGTCCCGAATAAGGTCTTTACCTATTTGGTCTATTTCATCTATTAATCCGCTACAATATTTTCGATCGGGAGTAGTCGCACGGTTATAATATAATTCTTAGAATCATTAAAGTTTGTTAGAGTGTCTTCTACGTCGCTTACTAACTTGATTGTGATCCCTTACAAAAAAGTATTACTAGCTGGTTAGTAATAAATACTTATTTTGTGTATTAATAATACTAAAATTAAGTATTTATTAGTACTTGAATCACTGTGATCCAAGTATTGCATAGTATTTTATTACTGGTCAATAATTTATGAAAGTAGTATTTAATACAGGACGAATATTAAATACTTAGTATTAAATTTCTGATGAGAAAGCATTTAATACTAGGTGAAAAATACTTGTGTAATAAATACTTGTGTTGAATTACTGATGAGTATTTCAATGTTAGTACTGAAGTACTGAACCAAGGATTCCATGTGTAATAAATCACTGGCCAGTATTTTAATATTAATACTCAAGTACTGAACTGAATATTCCATGTGAAATTAATCACTGACCAGTACTACAATTTGTATAGAAACATTATAAAGGGTAATTCCTGATAATATTAAGGAGATAAAAGTAAGGCACAAATACATTTTATATGAAGGTCTGTACTAATTCGTCGTGATAAAAGTGTACAAGTTTTGAAATAGTACTGAGAATATCATTTTAATATCCAATTCAAAATTTTATCACTCTTTTTAAACTGAATTTGTTTCTTAAGATGATTTTTGAAAAATTATATATTTGCGCTGGTTATGACACATGTAGACTATATATAACACTTACATCAAAAATTAAGAAGTAGTCTATCACGTAAGGCAGTTGGCTCACGATCCAGAGGTCCCGAGTTCGATCCCACCAAGGTAAGTGTGTTTTTCAAATACGAGAAAATATTTATAATTATAGACTGCATCTTAAGAAACAAATTTAGTTATAAAATAGTAATAAAATTTCGAAAAAAAATAATTTTTTTTTATGCCGGGTAAATATCGGAAATCAAAATATCGGTGAGTAATTCAATACTAAGCACCAGTAGTTCTGTGTAGTATTAATCACTACCTATAATATTTATCACTACCAGTATTTTCCCAGTATTTCCCAAATAAATATTGACAGTATTAAATCACTGAGATTTTAAGTATTTAGTCAGTAATACTTTTCTGTAAGGGATCGCGGTTATCGCTAGCAAATGTTCGTCTATCTCTTCGCGGCGCGCTAACTTGCTGTTAGGCGTATTTCCTGAATTTCTACTTTTAATCGTATTTTCCGCTGACGATGCCTGTCCACGGATTTTCGCTTTTATACTGTCTAACGAGTCGCTTCAGTCTGCGTTCGTTACTGGTCTCGTGGAGTTTTTATTTCTCGGGATGCCTCCACTTGACTATGTGCCAGTCGGGGCTGACGCGGTAGATCCAAGTGAGATCCGAGCTTGCGAAGAAGCTGAAGAAACCAGTGGTCCAACCTTGGTGGTTCCCGAAAGGTCGGATGTTCGGGACCTTATTCACGCGCGCGTGCATTATGACGGCGGTACGCGTGAGTTCCTGATGGAACGTGGTGATCGAACGCCGCCTGTTCCTATGATCTTGTTCCTGGCGCTGGTTGCGCTTCGTTCCCGCATGCAGGCTGATCTGGAGCGTGGTGCCCCTCACCATGATTAACTGTACGTTTTGGTTATTTCCGTTACTGTTGACCTTATGCTATTTATGCTTTTGATTATGCTTCTTATCTCTGCTTTTATAAAGGTTTCAAACGGTTAACGTGGGCGCGTAGCGTTCTTCGTTTTATCCTATATATATATATTTTTCATCGGATTTCGCTTCCGTTTGAAAGTCCTAAGTCCTAAGTTTTGCTGACGTCCGTCCGTGTCAGATTTCTTCCTTTAATTTCTCCGCTTAATTTTCGCGTCAGTTAGACTGCTACTCTCGAGCAGTGTTGGGTGCCTTTCAGTGGTTTTCTTTTTTAACTCTGTCTTAATAATTATGCGGTGCTTTCGGTGCACTCAACATTTCACACCCTCCTTTTGTGACGCTTGCCAGCGTGAATATTGGAGGAGTACATTTCGGGCGGCTGCTGCGGATCGCGCGGCGAGGGAGCGAGAGAGAGACGAGGCGCGTTCCTCGCCCCCTCCCCCTTACGCTGAGGTGGCCCGCCCTGGCACTGTGGTGCCCTTCCCTCCGTTGCGAGTGACGCTACACTCCGCAACAGGACAGAGGGACGTGGTCCTCGTTCGTCCTTGTCGGGAGTAACGCCTTTGTGAGTTTACTTATTATATTTAATCCTTCCTCTTTGCATACTGCTTTCTGCTTCTATTCTGTTGCGCGTGTTCTTATCTTGCCGTGTCACCTGCACGGTCGATGCCTCCGGTGTCGGGTTTCGGCTCAACGCGTCGGCTTTCATATTACTTTTTTCGGCCTTGCTTAGAATGCATTTAGATTCGGCCGGCTTTGCGAGGAAATGCCCGATAAAATTTCCGCCGTTTTTTACGATG